CAGGATTGTATATTAGCTGTTAGCCAGAACTGTATATTAGCTGTTAGCCAGGATTGTATATTAGCTGTTAGCCAGGATTGTATATTAGCTGTTAGCCAGGATTGTATCTTAGCTGTTAGCCAGGATTGCATCTTAGCTGTTAGCCAGGATTGTATCTTACCTGTTAGTCAGGATTGTATCTTAGCTGTTAGCCAGGATTGTATATTAGCTGTTAGCCAGAACTGTATATTAGCTGTTAGCCAGGATTGTATATTAGCTGTTAGCCAGGATTGTATATTAGCTGTTAGCCAGGATTGTATCTTAGCTGTTAGTCAGGATTGTATCTTAGCTGTTAGTCAGGATTTTATCTTAGCTGTTAGCCAGGATTGTATCTTAGCTGTTAGCCAGGATTGTATCTTAGCTGTTAGCCAGGATTGTATCTTAGCTGTTAGTCAGGATTGTATCTTAGCTGTTAGCCAGGATTGTATCTTAGCTGTTAGCCAGGATTGTATCTTAGCTGTTAGCCAGGATTGTATCTTAGCTGTTAGTCAGGATTGTTATCTTAGCTATTAGCCAGGATTGTATCTTAGCTGTTAGCCAGGATTGTATCTTAGCTATTAGCCAGGATTGTATCTTAGCTGTCAGCCAGGATTGTATATTAGCTGTTAGCCAGGATTGTATCTTAGCTGTTAGCCAGGATTGTATCTTAGCTGTTAGCCAGGATTGTATATTAGCTGTTAGCCAGGATTTTATCTAGCCGTTAGCCAGGATTGTATCTTAGCTGTTAGCCAGGATTGTATATTCGCTGTTAGCCAGGATTTTATCTAGCCGTTAGCCAGGATTGCGTTTAATAAAAGTAGAATCTGAGTTTGATAAGTACAGGTATTTTGGGTATAGTGTGGATAGTAATTTCTAAATATTTTGGTTCTAAGTGATAATTGCTTACTGAATCATGTTAGATATCTGTACGTCTTTGTGTGGCGTGCAGTGTTGCCATTTATTTCAGGGGAAAATCACGTGCGTCTTAATGGTTAATTAAGAATATCTTAAAGACTGTTAGGTTAGGTAAGATTCGTCAGGAAACAAGACAAGTGTTTCCTGACGCGGGTCTTAGTCATATGATGACCCACAGCTGGAGCTTTTGGTCATCTGACCGAGACCTTCCACTGGCTTACCCGTCCATCATTTTAAAAAGTAAAACTATAATTACAGCCATAGCGGTGATTTAAAAACTGTGTCAGCGCTGAAGCTATTGTGTAGTTCTTCAGTGATCCGTGACAGCCGATTACCGGACGGAGGATCAAGCTTCCACCACTCATCCTTACATTAAATGACCCTCACGGGCCTAGAGCTTCTTGAAATATAATAAAATGTGTAGTTCTTCGGTGTAATCGAAAGTGAATTGAGGATTGACAGAGGAAGTGATGGCGGAACATTAATAGTGCATCATAACATTCACTTTCATGAGACGAACCTTGAGCAACCTTACCTCCCACCAGCGTCTCTCTCCCTCCCTCCCTTCCTCCCTCCTCTCTCTCCCTCCCTCCCCCTCCCTCCCTCCTCTCCCTCCACTCCCCTCCTTCCTCCTTCTCTCTCTCCCTTCCTCCCCTTCTCTCTCTCCTTCCTCCTTCTCTCTCTCCCTTCCTCCCTTCTCTCTCTCCCTTCCTCCCTTCTCTCTCTCCCCTCCCTCCTCTCTTTTCTCTCTCTCTCTCTCCTCCTCTCTCTCTCTCTCTCTCCTCTCTCTCTCTCTCTCTCTCTCTCTCTCTCTCTTCCTCTCTCTCTCCCCTCTCTCTCTCTCTCCTCTCTCTCTCTCTCTCTCTCTCTCTCATCTCTCTCTCTCTCTCTCTCTCTCTCTCTCTCTCTCTCTCTTACGTCACCACTGGTTATTGATGCTTTATTTACAGTGGGCAAAGTCTGGGTATTTTTCCAGAACGGTTGTTAATATGCTACTGTGGATAAAATATTTTGACATTTCTGAGTGAGTTGTCTCTGAATTCATTAATTTTATTGCACTCCAGTACATAATGACGCAATATGTAACGCATTCCAGTTCATAATGACTCAAGGTGTGACAATTCTCCATCTGGCAGTTTACATTCGTTTGGTCTGCGTCTGGTGGTGATTATTTTAACCTGCCAAAGATATAATGGTAACCCAGCCGGAACCTGCCACTAGTAACATCCAAGAGTCTGCTTATTTTGTTGGATGCACCAGACATATGGCTCTTCCTGCATGATAGAATGATGATAGGTGGACTGAGTGATGTTGATCCCAAGTCACTGAAGTTCAACTGAAATTCTTTCTGTATTATTGTTCTCAAACTGCTAACTGACAACCCAAGATTGAAATCTACTCCCTCTCTGAAAGCATACAACTTAGCCAATTTATCAGTTCTATCATGCATCTGAAGACCAATGCGAGATGGAATCCACAGCATGTGCACTCTGACTCCACTGTCCACAATCCTGCTATACCTGTCTGGCTTCTGACACAAACATTGGTACAATTGAACTTAAGGTGTTAAGAGCATTTATGGATGATAAAGAACCAGCTACAGTTAAAGTGTCAACCTTTGATACATGGACGCAATTGAGTGGAAGGAGTATGTCAAACAGTTTGAAGGGTAGGGGCCCAGTTATTGATGCGTCCTCCAATTTCTATGAGCCATTTCTCTGACAACAGCAGGACTATTAGCTGCAGCAGTGGACTGGTGAACAGTACCATCAACATGCATAATTTTTAGTGTGCTGTGTGACTAAAGCTTCAATACAGCTTGAGGCATCCTGCTTGGCTTCGAGGTGAAGCTTTCCTTGTGATTTAAGTTTTTTTTTTGTGTGTGTGGGGGGGGGGAGGAAGAGGGATAATGTAAATCCTAGCATAGCTTTCGTCGAGACTTCATGTTTTGACTCACGAAATCGTAATAACACGATTGCATATAAACCAGGGTACGGGCGGGGCTCGAACTTACAGCCGGGAGTTTTACGACTCACTTTGCTGTGAGTTCTAACCCCAGGCGTCCAGAGGCTTCTTCTTGTTTTGATCTTTGTTAGATCTCTGATGGTGGTGGTACTGACCGGCGCTGCTCCGATGCTACAAGTTGAGGACTCAGTAAACTTCTCACTTACGTTGTTGTTTGGGAAATGATGCAAGATTTAAGAGTGGCTTCTGTTCTCGAGCGCAGAGCTCTCCCTCGCACTCCCGCCGGAAATGCGACGGTAATTTTTCTGTGAACACTCGACAGGTATTTCACACTGCAAATTCTGTATGCTCGTAAGTGAAAGCCTATAATTACCCCACGTTTGTGTGTTACGGAGGAATACAAATAAAGTAGATCGTTCTTGTTGGTGGGTTTACGAAATACCAGGAACTTTGGGTTTACGAAATACCAGAAACTTTGGGTTTACGAAATACCAGGAACTTCAGAGTGTTAACTCTATGTTAAAACAACGAGGAAGGCGATCCTCTTACATGTTTCTTCTTCAAAGAGAAATCAGATGGACATTTCCACCTGGTTAACTCCATCTGGGGCGATAAATGCAACAGAATCTCGTATATCACACCTCCCAGGAGCGCATTATATTTTAATTGCGAGTGACACATTATACACACCACAAGTTCTTATTACCTGGAGTTTACCTGGAGAGAGTTTCGGGGGTCAACGCCCCCGCGGCCCGGTCTGTGACCAGGCCTCCTGGTGGATCAGCGCCTGATCAACCAGGCTGTTGCTGCTGGCTGCACGCAAACCAACGTACGAGCCACAGCCCGGCTGATCAGGAACTGACTTTAGGTGCTTGTCCAGTGCCAGCTTGAAGACTGCCAGGGGTCTGTTGGTAATCCCCCTTATGTGTGCTGGGAGGCAGTTGAACAGTCTCGGGCCCCTGACACTTATTGTATGGTCTCTTAACGTGCTAGTGACACCCCTGCTTTTCATTGGGGGGATGGTGCATCGCCTGCCAAGTCTTTTGCTTTCGTAGTGAGTGATTTTCGTGTGCAAGTTCGGTACTAGTCCCTCTAGGATTTTCCAGGTGTATATAATCATGTATCACTCCCTCCTGCGTTCCAGGAAATACAGGTTTAGGAACCTCAAGCGCTCCCAGTAATTGAGGTGTTTTATCTCCGTTATGCGCGCCGTGAAAGTTCTCTGTACATTTTCTAGGTCGGCAATTTCACCTGCCTTGAAAGGTGCTGTTAGAGTGCAGCAATATTCCAGCCTAGATAGAACAAGTGACCTGAAGAGTGTCATCATGGGCTTGGCCTCCCTAGTTGTGTGAGGAAAAGTGGCAGTGTCTCAATCCTTCGACGAGTCGCTGGATATATTAAGCTAAATGTTAGGTTAGGTCAGGCTCGTCAGGAAACAGGAAAAGTGTTTCCTGACGCGAATCTTAGTCATACGATAACCCGCCATTGCAGCTTTTGGTCATCTGTCCGAGGCCTTCCACTGGCTTAACCACCCCTTTAAAAATTAAGATTGTTAAAGGATTCAGAAATGTAAATTGTACATTAAAATCCATAGAATGACTGTGGACTTACTGATAAATTTGATTAATATGGTTGAATATCTCAGTGTCAGAAATTAGGGTTTTTGTGCATTTATATAAAGTAGGAAAATCTGGATTATGAAAAAAGTATATTTTGAATATTGTAAGAATATTAAACAAGCAATTTAACATAATACAAAATCTGCATAAACCGTATTTAATTTTATTTAGCTAGGTGTATTTATACACCATAGGGAGGTTAGCATGGGCCACCACTGTGACTATTTATGAAGATTTTTACAGACGAGTCCCACACTAGCGTGGCTATAGCAAACTCTAGCTCAAGTCCCTTCAAGACCGCCATCATGACTCACGAAATCGTAATTACACGATTGTTTGCAGTCTTGTTATTACGATTTCGTGAGTCATTTTAAGCAATAGAGTAACGTGACGACATGATAGGTGAGTTTGCCCTAACTAATACAGTAAGAAAAAGGAAGTATGTAAATATTCCTGAGTAATACAATAACAAGAGTTACTCGCCTGGTGGTGTGAGTGAATCCTCTTCTTGGCAGCCTCTTGCAGTGAATCCCTGAGCCCTGGCACTGTTGCGACCACCTTGTTCACCTGTAACTGTGACAACACTCACCTTACACACCATTCACCAGGGTATATCTTCCGAGAGGTGTGTATCTGTGTGTATATACACCAAGAGGTGTGTATCTGTGTGTATATACACCAAGAGGTGTGTATCTGTGTGTATATACACCAAGAGGTGTGAATCTGTGTGTATATACACCAAGAGGTGTGTATCTGTGTGTATATACACCAAGAGGTGTGAATCTGTGTGTATATACACCAAGAGGTGTGTATCTGTGTGTATATACACCAAGAGGTGTGTATCTGTGTGTATATACACCAAGAGTGTGAATCTGTGTGTAAATACACCAAGAGGTATGTATCTGTGTGTATATACACCAAGAAGTATGTATCTGTGTGTATATACACCAAGAGGTGTGTATCTGTGTGTATATACACCAAGAGGTGTGAATCTGTGTGTATATACACCAAGAGGTGTGTATCTGTGTGTATATACACCAAGAGGTGTGTATCTGTGTGTATATACACCAAGAGGTGTGAATCTGTGTGTATATACACCAAGAGGTATGTATCTGTGTGTATATACACCAAGAGGTATGTATCTGTGTGTATATACACCAAGAAGTATGTATCTGTGTGTATATACACCAAGAGGTGTGTATCTGTGTGTATATAAACATGACTTCCTTTAATCCCCTTCTACCTATAATATGTTATTGCTATACACACGTTGGTTGGCTGGTTAATGAGGTTTAAAGTCTATCAACTACACGAGGGTCACTCAAGACTGCATTTAACCTTCTAATACCTGAAAAATAGAGTAGGTAGTTATAATGTTCGTCAGGAAACATGACAAGTGTTTCCTGACGCGGGTGTTAGTCATGATGACCCGCCGCTGGAGCTTTTGGTCATCTGACCGAGGCCTTCCGCTGGCTTACCACTCCACCATTTTCAAAATAATGATTATAATTATAACCATTAAATTTTGCTGAAAAATATGAAGTTATAATGATATATTTAACTTGAAGTTACAATTATCCAAAAAAATTTAATATTTTTTAAATATTTATTGCTTAATTTTAGTTATCAAACGTTTTAATTTCATAATTTTTATACTAAATATTTATAGGTAATGAAATTTAAATTATAATTCATTTATTTTCTATTATATATGAATGTTTTAATTACTTAAATGAGGTATAACTCATATATATACTGAGATGCATTTCTCAGTGATATGGTGAGAGTTTAATTCCTATTTTATGGATTTAAATATTTTTGTTTGGTGGTGAAAAGGTCACGTGCAGCTTTCCTGACCATCATGTAGTTGATAGGCTTTAAACCCCATTAAACAACTCTGAGGTATAACACTTGTCATTATCACGTCATTATGTGACACAAATCACTGTTAAAACCCACCCAAAGTTCTCAGGCCAATTATTCTTTCTTTCCTCTCTCATACTGTTTATCAAAAGTCTTCCTCACTGCTCTGTCCTATCCTAGTTCATACACATAACTCGCACGTACGACAGAGGAGCTTACGACGACGTTTCGGTCCGACTTGGACCATTTACGAAGTCACACTAACACAAAAGAGGTAAGGTTTGTTAGGAAACAGGACAAGTGTTTCCTGACCCACAGCTGGAGCTTTTGGTCGTCTGACCGAGGCTTTCCACTGGCTTACTTCTCCACCCCTTTAAAAATTAAGGTTATAAGACAAAAAAGTGAGGGAGCCAGTATATATAGGAGAGGGAGAGGGACGAGACCAAGAGAGGAAGAACAAGAAGTGGTGGTGGTAACGCTGGTAGTAAGCTTCTCTCTCTCTCCTATGAGTAGATACTGAATGGTTATAACTATGATTATAATTTTTAAAGGGGGTAGACCGGTAAGCCAGCGGAAGGCCTCGGTCAGATGACCAAAAGCTCCAGCTATGGGCCATCATAAGACCCGCGTCAGGAAACACTTGTCCTGTTTCCTGACAAACCTCACCTAACTTAACCTATGTACCTGGAGTTTACCTGGAGAGAGTTCCGGGGGTCAACGCCCCCGCGGCCCGGTCTGAGACCAGGCCTCCTGGTGGATCAGAGCCTGATCAACCAGGCTGTTGCTGCTGGCTGCAAAGCAAAACCCAAAATAACGAGCCACAGCCCGGCTGATCCGGGGAACTGACTTTAGGTGCTTGTTTCCCGTGCCAGCTTGAAGACTGCCAGGGGTCTGTTGGTAATCCCCCTTATGTGTGCTGGGAGGCAGTTGAACAGTCCGGGGCCCCTGACACTTATTGTAATGGTCTCTTAACGTGCTAGTGACACCCCTGCTTTTTTATTGGGGGATGGTGCATTCGTCTGCCAAGTCTTTTGCTTTCGTAGTGGGTGATTTTCGTGTGCAAGTTCGGTACTAGTCCCTCTAGGATTTTCCAGGTGTATATAATTTATGTATCTCCTCCCTCCTGCGTTCCAGGGAATACAGGTTTAGGAACCTCAAGCGCTCCCAATAATTGGGTGTTTTATCTCCGTTATGCGCGCCCGTGAAAGTTCTCTGTACATTTTCTAGTCGGCAATTTCACCTGCCTTGAAAGGTGCTGTGAGTGTGCAGCAATATTCCAGCCTAGATAGAACAAGTGACCTGAAAAGTGTCATCATGGGCTTGGCCCCCTAGTTTTGAAGGTTCTCATTATCCATCCTGTCATTTTTCTAGCAGATCGATTGATACAATGTTATGGTCCTTGAAGGTGAGATCCTCCGACCCTGACACTCCCAGGTCTTTGACGTTGGTGTTTCGCTCTATTTTGTGGCCAGAATTTGTTTTGTACTCTGATGAAGATTTAATTTCCTCATGTTTACCATATCTGAGTAATTGAAATTTCTCATCGTTGAACTTCATATTATTTTCTGCAGCCCACTGAAAGATTTGGTTGATGTCTGCCTGGGGCTTTGCAGTTTTCTGCAATGGAAGACACTGTCATGCAGTTCGGTGTCATCTGCAAAGGAAGACACGGTGCTGTGGCTGACATCCTTGTCTATGTCGGATATAAGGATGAGGAACAAGATGGGAGCGAGTACTGTGCCTTGTGGAACAGTTATTTGTGTATTGTTCCAGTCACGGTATTGTTCCAGTCACGGTATTGTGCCTTTTTACCCTAGTCCATCTCCCCCAGTCTTCCTATTCCTCTTGTTCTAGCAAAAAAAAAAAAAAATATGCATGTACCGAAAGGTATCTGTCAATGCATATAAGTTAAGAGTTAACTTTAATCCTTATTTTAAATATTAAGTTATTCTTTACTGGTAGTGTACCAGTTACATGTAGCTTTACTGGTAGTGTACCAGTTACATGTAGCTTTACTGGTAGTGTACCAGTTACATGTAGCTTTACTGGTAGTGTACCAGTTACATGTAGCTTTACTGGTAGTGTACCAGTTACATGTACAACAGTTGGGTATCTTTAAAGATACCCAACTGTTGTACATAGGCATGAGTAAAAATTACTAATGCCTATATTCATAACTATAATTTTTGAAGGGGTGGAGGGGTAAGCCAGGGAAAGGCCTCGGTCAGACGACCAAAAGCTCCAGCTGCGGGTCATCATATAATTAAGACCCGCAGTCAGGAAGCACTTGTCCTGTTTCGTGACAGCCTTTACCTAACCTAACCTAACCTAACCTAACCTGAGAAACCTTACCTTACCTAACTTAACCTAACCTATCCTAGCCTAACCTAACCTGACCTTATCTTACCTAACCTAACCTGTCGCACATGCATCTTACTCAACTTAAAATTGTTCAAGATGGCCCTCGAATGGTCGATATTTTTCAACCCCCCCCCCCCCATTAACCGTCTAAAATTTATGAAACGTCAAAGAGAAATGTTTATCCATGCATTCAGCATTTTTAAATATACTGTGTATTATGTATTGGTCCTTTCTTCATTACACAGTAACAACCACCAACTTTCTCACCGTTCGTCTGAAAACGCACGTTCCATTTTTTTACACAGCATCCCGCGCTGCCAGACGTAACCCACCAATTTCTATAAATTTCGTAATTTTCTGTAAAATTGTACGTAAATCTGAACATACCCGAGAATAACTCATTAATATTTAAGAAGAAATCGATCGCCTGGAAATACAGGAGAGGCAGTTTGTCAGATAATTAACACGATCACTGGAGGACCTGCATACTGGGTGTACGTTTATCTCAGGTGTGTGATAAACCGTTTAAAAAACCCACAAGTTGAAGAATAAGACACTTGTGCAGCATTTCGGAATCTTTAGTGACGAAACGATTCGCTACACAGTAGCTTTATCAGTTCAGTACAAAGTAGTATGGTGGCCTATTGATGAATAAGATAGGTAGACTAGCCTGTTGATGAACAGATATATTCAACACTATCTTCACTGACCCAAGAATAATACAGTATACATAATACAGTATACATAATACAGTATACATAATACAGTATACATAAAGCTAAAAAATATAATGCAGACTTACCTTGAGGGAGGAGAGAAGTGTCTCGAGGTCAGACCAGATGGTGTGAGGTCGTGAGAGGTCAACCATCAGTAGGAGAGTGAGAGAGGTCATGACCCGGGTGGTGAGGGGGGTGGATAGTAGGGGGGTGAAGAGTGCTCCTCCCCCCAGCTCCCATAGGTGACACACGTCTTTGACCTGCCAACACAAACTTGAAGATTATTACATAAAATATAACAGGTAGTGGTAGTGGACGGAGGGTCGAGCCTTCACCACTTCTTGTACTACAGTAGGCCTACTGGCCCATGCTAGGCAGGTTCGGTTTGCATGGGAGAAGCATCTGGGAAATGCGAGGCAACCAGGTTCAATCCAAGGCAATGGAGGACAGGTACGATTCCTTGCATGAATGTTATACAATAATAATTGAAAATAAAAAACAAAATAATAAATGAAAATGACAATAATAATAATAATAATAATAATAATAATAATAATAATAATAATTGTGGAGTAAAATAAGGGTTGGATGTGAAAAGTGGGTTATAGTAAGCGTATATGCACCTGGAGAAGAGAGAAGTGTAGAGGAGAGAGAGAGATTTGGGGAAATGTTGAGTGAGTGTGTGGGGAGTTTTGAACCAAGTGTGAGAGTACTTGTGGTTGGGGATTTCGGTGCTAAAGTGGGGTAAAAATGTTGTGGAGGGAGTAGTAGGTAAATTTGGGGTGCCAGGGGTAAATGAAAATGGGAGCCTTTAATTGAGCTATATAGAGAAAGAGGTTTGGTAATAAGTAATACACATTTTATGAAAAAGGGGATAAATAAATATACAAGGTATGATGTAGCACGTAATGAAAGTAGTTTGTTAGATTATGTATTGGTGGATAAAAGGATGATGGGTAGGCTTCAGGATGTACATGTTTATAGGTTGGCAACTGATATATCGAATAATTATTGAGTTGTAGCTACAGTTAGAGTAAGAGGTAGATGGGACGAAAGAAAAATGGAAACAACAATTAAGAGAGAGGTAAAAGTGTATAAAACTAAGGGAGGAGGAAGTTAGGGTGAGATATAAACAACTATTGGAAGAAAGGTGGGCTGGTGCAAGTATGAGTAGTGGGGGGGGGGGGGGTTGAAGAGGGTTGGAATAGTTTTAAAAATGCAGTATTAGAATGTGAGGCAGAAGTTTCTGGTTGTAGGATGGTGGGTGCAGGAAGAGGAGTGATTGATGGAATGATGAAGTAAAGGGTGTGATAAAAGAGGAAAAGGTAGCTTATGAGAGGTTTTTACAAAGCAGAAGTGTTATAAGAAGAGCAGAGTATATGAAGAGTAAAAGAAGGGTGAAAAGAGTGGTGAGAGAGTGTAAAAGGAGAGCAGATGATAGAGTGGGAGAGGCACTGTCAAGAAATTTTAATGAAAACAAGAAAATTTTTTGGAGATAAACAAGTTAAAAAAGCCTAGAGAATGAATGCATTTGTCAGTTAAAAGCAGAGTAGGGGAGTTAGTAGATGGGGAGCTGGATGTATTGGGTAGATGTCGGGAATATATTGAGGAACTTTTAAATGTCGATGAAAAAAGGGAGGCGGTAATTTCATGCACTGGTCAAGGAGGTATAACATCTTTTAGGAGTGAAGAAGAGCAGAATGTGAGTGTGGGGGAGGTACGTGAGGCATTAGGTAGAATGAAAGGGGGTAAAGCAGCAGGAACTGACGGGATCATGACAGAAATGTTAAAAGCAGGGGGGGAGATGTAGCGTTGGAGTGGTTGGTATTTTTGTTTAATAAATGTATGGAAGAGGGGAAGGTACCTAGGGATTGGCAGAAAGCATGTATAGTTTCTTTATATAAAGGGAAGGGCGACAAAAGAGATTGTAAGAATTATAGAGGAATAAGTTTACTGAGTATACCAGGAAAAGTGTATGGTAGGGTTATTATTGAAAGAATTAAGAACATAATAAAGAAGGAACACTGCAGCAGGCCTACTGGCCCATGCGAGAATTAGAGGTAAGATAGAGAGCAGGATTGCAGATGAGCAAGGAGGATTTAGAGTGGGTAGGGGATGTGTAGATCAAGTGTTTACATTGAAGCATATATGTGAACAGTATTTAGATAAAGGTAGGGAAGTTTTTATTGCATTTATGGATTTAGAAAAGGCATATGATAGAGTGGATAGGGGAGCAATGTGGCAGATGTTGCAAGTATATGGAATATACTAAATGCTGTAAAGAGTTTTTATGAGGATAGTGAGGCTCATGTTAGGGTGTGTAGAAGAGAGGGAGATTACTTCCCGGTAAAAGTAGGTCTTAGACAGGGATGTGTAATGTCACCATGGTTGTTTAATATATTTATAGATGGGGTTGTAAAAGTAGTAAATGCTAGGGTGTTCGGGAGAGGGGTGGGATTAAATTATGGGAATCAAATACAAAATGGGAGTTGACAGTTTCTTTTTGCTGATGATGCTGTGCTTATGGATGATTCTAAAGAAAAGTTGCAAAGGCTTGTGGACGAGTTTGGGAGTGTGTGTAAAGGTAGAAAGTTGAAAGTGAACATAGATAAGAGTAAGGTGATGAGGGTATCAAATGATTTAGATAAAGAAAAATTGGATATCACATTGGAAAGAAGGAGTATGGAAGAAGTGAATGTTTTCAGATATTTGGGAGTTGATGTGTCAGCGGATGAGTTTTTGAAGGATTTGGTTAACCATAGAACTGATTAGGGAACAAAGGTGAGTGGTGCGTTGAGATATATGTGGAGACAAAAAAACGTTATCTATGGAGGCAAAGAAGGGAATGTATGAAAGTATAGTAGTACCAACACTCTTATATGAGTGTGAAGCTTGGTTTGTAAATGCTGCAGCGAGGAGGCGGTTGGAGGCAGTGATGTCGTCCTGTCTGAGGGCAATGTGTGGTGTAAATATTATGCAGAGAATACGAAGTGTGGAAATTAGGAGAAGGTGTGGAGTTAATAAAAGTATTAGTCAGGGCTGAAGAGGGGTTGTTGAGGTGGTTTGGTCATTTAGAGAGAATGGATCAAAGTTGAATGACATGGAGAGCTTATAAATCTGTAGGAGAAGGAAGGCGGGGTAGGGGTCGTCCTCGAAAAGGTTGGAGGGAGGGGGTAAAGGAGGTTTTGTGGACGAGGGGCTTGGACTTCCAGCAAGCGTGCATTAGCGTGTTAGATAGGAGTGAATGGAGACGAATGGCTTTTGGGACCTGAAGAACTGTTGGAGTGTGAGCAGGGTAATAGTGAAGGGATTCAGGGAAGCCGGTTATTTTTATATAGCCGGACTTGAATTCTGGAAATGGGAAGTACAATGCCTGCACTTTAAAGGAGAGGTTTGGGATATTGGCGGTTTGGAGGGATGTGCAATAGGACGGTATATGTATAACTGGCGCCCTGGTATTATATTCTATAGGGCGTTTATATTATTTCAAGTCACTTTTTATATTGTATCTTTTTATATGCTTCTAAACTGTTGTATCTGGGCACCTCTGCAAAAACTGATTATGTGTGAGTGAGGTGACAGTATTGAATGATGATTAAAGTATTTTCGTTTAGGGATTTTCTTTCTTTTTGGGTGATCATGCCTAGGTGCGAGACGGCCGACTTGTTGAAAATAACAACAACGACTTACCATAGTTTTACCAGTTTTTCTTCCATAGGTATACTCTAGTGCCAGGGTCTGGCGGGGAACATCCTCTCTGTCTAGGAACCTTTGGATCAGCGTCGTCTTGCCCTGAAACATAACATCATGCTAACACGTCTCTAAACATGTCTAACACACATTTAATGTCTCTAACAAGTCTTGTGTATGTAAGATGTCTCTAACAAGCCTTGTATATGTAAGATATCTCTAACAAGCCTCGTACATGTAAGATGTCTCTAACAAGCCTCGTACATGTAAGATGTCTCTAACAAGCCTCGTACATGTAAGATGTCTCTAACAAGCCTCGTACATGTAAGATATTCTAATACCTCGTACATGTAAGACATCTCTAACAAGCCTCGTACATGTAAGACATCTCTAACAAGCCTCGTACATGTAAGATATCTCTAACAAGCCTCGTACATGTAAGACATCTCTAACAAGCCTCGTACATGTAAGATATCTCTAACAAGCCTCGTACATGTAAGATATCTCTAACAAGCCTCGTACATGTAAGATGTCTCTAACAAGCCTCGTACATGTAAGATATCTCTAACAAGCCTCGTACATGTAAGATATCTCTAACAAGCCTCGCATGTGTGTCTAACTTCTTACATATTTAATACGCTTGTGTGTGACAGGAATTCAATACATAATAAATTAATAACTAAATATTATTCGTTTTAACGGGGTTCTGTTTTAAAATTTTGAAATTAAAATCGACATAAAAATAGATTTTTCGATTATTTTTCAGTGTTGCCTTCACAATTACATTTCGCTCAAAATTCTGGAGGATATATACACCGTGAGGCCTGTGTCTTTCAGAGTATATATACTTAGAAGACAGTGTGGCAGGATCTTGGACTCGTCTGTACATCAGTGTATTAACGTTGGTAGATTTACCCATAATATGCTAGATAAAGGTCACAAGTGCAAGTAATGTGACATTTTATTGTTGTAACGTTCCGCTCTCCAGGAAATGTTACGTAACTGCTTGATAAAGCTCCTGGAGAGCGAAACGTTGCCACAGTAAAATGTCACATTAGTTGCACTTGTGTCCTTTTACCTAACATATCTAAGAGTGCCTGCACTCTGAGAGGTGGGGATAAGTTGAAGTTTAATAACTGTAGTGTCAGAACACCTCTGGCAAAACAGTGATGGAGTGAATGATGGTGAAAGTGTTTCTCCCTTTTCGGGTCACCCTGCCTTGGTGGGAAACGGCCTGTGTGTTAAAAAAAAAAATACAACATAACTGAATCCCTTGCCAGGAAACTTCTCCATTGTTATCCTACATAGCAACAACCTACTTGCCCATTCCGTGTAAGTCTATCTCACATCCAACCTGCTCAACATTCTCCACCTGACTCTCCAAGTCACTGTGTTCCATATATATACTCATGTACTCTCTGCTTAGGCTGACACACACGGGGCCAGGAGCTACGAATCGACCCCTGCAACCACAATTAGGCAAGTACAGCCTAAAGAGAATCTCCTGAGTCACTCTGGCACTCGGGCTGCAGCCTGGGTGCCGGGAGTGGCTCCGGTGGAGCAAAACGTTTAAGATGAAAACCTCATAATAATAATGATTAATAATAATAATAATAATAATAATAATAATAATAATAATAATAATAATATCTTTATTTCTACAAGTACATGTACAAGGTATACAGACCATAGCTAACATTAATAACATACTAATATATAGAAAGCCCCTTGTTATGCTGAGCATTTCCCGCAAATTAGGTCAGTTTTGTCCCAGGATGCGACCCACACCAGTCCATTAACACCCAGGTACCCATTTTACTAATGCGTGAGCATAGACAACCGGTGTAAGGAAACACGCGCAATGTTTCTACCCTCGCTTCTACCCAGCGAGAACAGACCTGACACCACTTGAACCCAAGACGTGCTGTACCGCAGCTACAGGGAGTCACGACGATTGTAGCTAACTGCTACACCACTTGTGCTGAAGAAGCCCTTGTTATAGTGATGCCCTCGCCATAGGGCTGTAAATAGTACTCCACTTGATGGTTCACGGCGCCCATGTCATAGGACTCTAAACGGTGCTCCATTTGACTCGAATACTCATCGTGCCCCCGCCATAGGGCTGTAAACGGTGCATCACTTGTACAAACTCCTACACAACTTCGGGAGTCACTGTCAGGTCAACACATGGAGAAAACCCGGCCAGGACCCGTCCTCGCAAACTTACATGAACATCTTGTGTTTGTGACTTGATAAAGTCCACTGTGTGGGCGAAACGTGGTCAATAAAGGATCGCATTACACTGTACTGGTGTCTAATTTTTTCTATCGTGTCGGGCCAGGAACTGGAGGCCAAGTCAGTCTAACACCGAAAATATTTATGCAGCAACAATACACACAGTAGACAGGGCAGGTGTCAGTGTTTCCTGGGATAACAAGACCCAGAAACGTCAAATATCTAACTAAAGATGTGCTCGAGCAGTATAATAGTAGATTTTTTGGTCGGTAAGTTTTCCGAAAGAAACTTACTAAACAACTTTCAGTCCCACATATATTCAACTTAAGTCACTTTGAAAACTATCACAAACAGTACACAAATAACCCACACAGAGGAGAGGAGCTTACGAAGACGTTTCAGTCCGACTTGGGCCATTTACAAAGTCACACTGACTTTTAAATGTTGAAAATCGGAGCGAAACGTCGTCGTAAGCTCCTCTCTCCTAGCAGTAACTAGGCACCTGAGCGTGTCACCTTACACCTGCTGATTCTGTTTACCTAGCAGTAAGTAGGTACCTGGGTATTAGTCACCTTATACCTGCTGTCACTGTTCACCTAGCAGTAAGTCTGTATCTGGGTATTAGTAAAGTGGCGTGCATGGCATCCTGGAAGACAAGACTGAAGGACCATAATGGAAATAAAGACAGTCCTCGATGATGCACTTTCTTGAGTTATCCTCGGTAGCTAACTCTCAAGGTTAAAATCCGAACAAATCTTATCTTATCTCACCGCAGAGCGAGTTCCGACGATGAGCAGTGTGGCTTCCCTGGGCAGCTTATCCAGCTCGAGGCTGGAACCTTCAGTACGTCTCCTTCTGGATTCCATGACAGCCACATCCCACACACTAATATTGCTGCTGGCGCCACCCACACTGACGGTACCTTCAGTGCTGACTTTGGCCATGTTGCTGGGCCTGCTGGTGCTGCTGTTCACCCTGGTGTTACTGCCAGCTCTGCTGCTGATGCTCTCAACTCGGATGGTGGTCGCTTCCTTGCTGCTGCTTGCCCGGCTGCTGCCTGCCCGGCTGCTGCTGGTGCTACTCATGCCAGCACTGTAACAGTAGACTATGATTATCCTACAGCTCTGTCACTACTACTCATAAAAACAACAGTATCTTTATTTCTACAAGTACATGTACAAGGTATACAGGCCTAGCTGACATCAATAACATACTACTATATAAACCATACCACGGGTGGGGATAGAACCCGCGGTCAGAGTCATAAAACTCCAGATCGACGCATTTGCCACTGGGCCAACGTCGGTCTGGAGTTGTACGACTCCTTGATCGCGGGTTCTATCCCCGCCCGTGGTATGGTTTGTTTGCAGTCATGTCATTGCGATTTCGTAAGTTATTACTATATAGAAAGACGCTTGTTATGCAGAGCATTTCGGGCAAATTAGGTCAGTTTTGTCCCAGGATGCGACCCACACCAGTCTACTAACACCCAGGATGCGACCCACACCAGTCTACTAACACCCAGGATGCGACCCACACCAGTCCACTAACACCTAGGAAAGCGAACCCACAAAACCCGTCTACTAACCCCCCAGATGCGACCACACCAGTCCACTAACAACCAGGTACCTATTTTGCTGATGGATGAGCATAGATAACTAGTGTAAGGAAACATATCATGTGGGGTTCGAACACGTGGATAGGGTAAAGAAATACTCACGTAGGCTGGAAGTACGTATATTACGGATACTGTTGGGAAGCGCCAACAGCCGGTGACCTGCCTCCTTGGGCTCTCTCTCGTAAGACACAACTTGAACCCCCAGTACCTCCCATATGAGGAGGGGGTGTTTGAAATACGGCTGTGGTCTCTCACAATAAGAATACAGACAGTGATTCCGACACAGAGACGGTTGTTCGTGAGTCAATCTACTGGTACACTGGTTACTGGTAACTGGTTACTAACTACTGAGAGGCCGGACGACGCTAATGTATGTCGCCCGACGATACAACTAATAAAATCTAAGATGGCAGGTAATATGCTTGGGATGATTCCTATACAATGTCAAATTACACAACAATTGAACATTATAACATACTAAGTAGAACATTGGAATGGAAGCTTAACATACCTGAAACTGTAATGCAATACAATGTATAATATAGCACACCTATCGTAATGAAACTCAGACGTTGGGTTACACAATAGAAGTGATAAAAAAAAATTTGATCGATCGATCTGTATTCATGTGATCATGTGATTCTGAGGAAGGAATAAATACAAAAAAAGAGTGTTTAAACAGACAGAGTCAGATTCGTGCACCCAAATCTAGACAGATAACTCTCAGAATTCGGCAGAGACGTGAACACAAAAAAAAAATTTTCTGATGAATACTGATAATTTGATACTGTAATTATCGGCTATACAGGTTATTTAACATTTAACCCCATCGATCTGCTAGGTAATATTGACCTATAATGCAGAATGGGTGTCACTCTGGTAGATCAAACTCTGCTGCATTGGCTAACTCAAGCTGTATTTGATAGCAAATCTGAATTGAAGTTACAAATGAACTGAGATTCTCTCAATACCTGTCGTGTCAGTAGGGAATAACGACACTTACCAGTTGATCGTCTGACTGAGTATCAGAGGAAGATATAACGGATCAGGAAGGATTGTCAGAGTCTGTCACATTAGTCTGTGTTGGAACATCATTATCATCACAACTAACTTCGTATGATCTAAATACGATTCTTTATACGACCATGTACTAATTTCTCTAACCTTATACTTATTACCAGTGATGTGTTCAACACTCGATAAGGACAACAAACTTTAGATCAAGCTTTGCATTGCAGACGCTTTTGTTAAAGTTAGTCAGCATAACTCTCGAACCTACTTTGATTTTGGATGGCTTAGCTCGAGTGTTTGTGACCTTGTAAAATTCTACTGTTAATTTCATGAAGTGTTTCACGGATTCTTTCTAAAAACAAAAAACTTTGAGCAAGCAGGGTAAGGGCGATTGCTAGAAAATCATCAGGGTTGTAATTTTTGGTTTCGGATTAGAATATAGCAACTCATAAGGCAAACGTTTATCTACACATACAAAGCATAATGTGAGTTCACCTATAGAAACATTGTAAGCAGAATTTATAAGCACACTGCACATCATGTATAACTTCATCCCCAAGATTCACTGTTGGGATTGATAGTGGCTCTCAAGACATCAAGTACTTTCTTCTTGGTTCGTTCGCTAACGCCTTGCTGGCAGGATGATGAGAACCCAAGGTGGATTAAGAGATCTTGTACAATGTGCACAAATTTTCAAGAATTCATTACAGAATACACCTCCATTAACTGTACTAAGGGACTTAGGAGTGGTATGGCCTGCAGATAATAATTGCATTCTTTAAACCACTTTAGAGCTACTGTCCGGCAGTCTTATCTGCAATAGACTAACTCACAAAATCTGGTGAAATGGTCTACGTCACACACAGATGTTTTTGCCTTGGAGGGAACATGGAAATTATATTAACAAATCTAGCGCACCTCTTTCCAAGGTTCGCTAGTGTTGGTTGGATATACTTGGATTAGATTAGGACCATTAGCATTACCTTTATGTTAGCATGCAGGCACTACTACATTTCTTAACATACTCAGCAAATAATCAGTTGTCATACTAGGCCAAAATATTTCAATTCTGATCTTGTTTTCTGACTACCCAGACCATGGGTGTGCAACGACCTGTACAATCGTGAACTAGCTGAAAGGCTACATTCATCTAGTGAACAGTGGATTACAAACTGGTATACTCTTCTCCTAGGATTACCCAAACTCGGCTGTTCGATACAGTAATTCTTTGGTTCATGACAAAGTCACTGATGGTGCTGGGTGCTTCACAGGTCTGAATAGAATCTTCCTGGAGCAGGATTCGAATCATCACACCAGACCACATGGGATCATGTTCGTTGAAACAGTCTTTACATCGTTCATCACTAAATGGAGGGTCTGCAGTTACATACAACATGTCGCGATAAGGCATCTGCGACTACATTTGACCTTTGCCAGGTAAGTGTTCAAGAGGTGGATTGAACTCTTGGATGTCAAGGTCCATCAGGCTAACCTTCCAGTATGGTTGTTTGTTCTGGAATAAAGGAATCAATGAGCATGGTCTGTCAAGACATGAACAGGTAGTACTGATTAAAAAATGTCTCGAAGTGCATAAAAGACCACTAACAATACTACAAGCTTCTTGCTCAGTTACTGTATAATTTACGTTCAGCCTTTGTACAGGACTCGGCTAGCAAATGCAAGACTGCGTTGTACTTGAGCCAACGGCTTCTGAGCTATAACGGCGCCTATGCCAATTGAACTAGCATCAGATGTCAGATAGAAGGGCCTTAGAAACATCTGGAAATTTCAAAAATTGGAGCAGATATTTTAGCTTTTCTTTTTAGAGTTTGGAAGCTCTTTCTTGGCACGGAAGGTCCAAACAAAAGGAGCATCTTTCTAAGCAACCCAGTTAGAGAGCATCTATGGAAGAAAAATTGCAATGAAAAGATCTAATAAAAACCTGCTAGAGACCCACAAAGGATCTTAACAGCAATCAGCAGTTTTGGGGTGTTGGAAAATTAGTACTGCAGTAACTTTACTTGGGCGATCGTTAACCCCTCTAGGAGTCTGACTACGTGACCAAGAAACTTAATTTCTTTCTGATCTGAAAAATTGACATTAGACAAGTTTGATCTTTAAACATTGGCTTCTCAAGCATACCAAGTACTACACAAGTCTTTCAAGTGTGGTATCCACGTCTTTAGACATGACATTGCGCGCTCTAAGTACACATAAGGATGCATTTTCCTATACAGACCTCTAAAGATTAGTCCATGAGCCTGAGACCTTGAAAGGGGAGGATCGAAATCCAACGCCATAACGGAGAGAAAGTCTCAGATAATGACCTGTAGGAGTGGAGAATGTATGTTAGCTCTTGGCTGTTCCCTCCGTGAAGAGGATGGACTTGCCAAAACCCACTTGTAACAATCCAGTTTGAAAAGACTTTGTATCTCCGATGTTACGTAAAAGATCACCCATACAGGAGTAGGGAAGCGATCTGGAATAGATTTTACACAATAACTTCATAAAGTCAATCACTGGGGGGGCGCCAAGTACCATCCTTCTTAGGTAACTAGGATCAAGGGTGCATTCCAATGAATTGCAGATGCCATAACTCCTCATCAAGCATTTGATTGATCAATTCTTTTGCGACATCAACTTGTGAATGAGGCCATTCTGTACAGCAGTATGTAGATAGTCTATACCAGTTCCAAGTGGAATACGATGGGACAAAATTCGTTATAACCCATATCTTTCAATCTGGTAAGGCCATGACGCTATAAGAGGAACGACGATATGTTCCAACAGAGTCAACAAACACTTGACTTCATCTGGGAGTCAGCGGGAGCTAAGTCTATCGTATCTCCTCACCTGGTGGAACAGATTGATCCAGTGAAGTGGATGAGGTCTCTCACGGCATAAATAGCACACGACCACTGGCCAGGTACCTCATCCCTTACCTGAACATGGGTAAGGATAGTAGAAAACAAGGTCAACAAGATTGGTATTTGGCTCTGAGACGAACACTGTGACCAGAAGTGTTAGCTAGGAAAGAAAATCGCTCTTACAATCTCATTACAACATGTAAGGATGGTCCAACAAATAGACCTTGTTACTTTTGGCAGGCAATTCACAGTCAACTAGGACGTTTATCACCATCTGGAACACATGAAACAAACATACAGACTACTCTAGTGAGAGCACCTAGCCCGCAACATGAGAACGTCTTGACTGACAGCACGGCATGTGACATCAACAAGGAGATGGCATTACTTATTTCAAGTAATCGTTTTCTGACACTAGGCAATCATCCCTGTGGAGAAACTACAACACGAACTGCATCATTGCAAGGATAGGTTTATGCTCACACAAGGCAGTCTGAGTGTCCAACGGACAACTTTAGCAACACACTATCCTGTCCAAGTCTGAAGGTATAGTTGAAACATACAGATGGGAGTGACAGAATTAAACCAGTGCCTGACCGCTGGTACGCTACT